GGGCCGCACGCATGCCAGGCGAGCGCGCTACCGCTTGAGCCACATCCCCAGCCCCTGGTTTATTTTTTTGGCTTCTGGTTTGGAGGTTGGACTCCAAGTGTAGCTTGCATCAGATGGTGGCAGAGGTGTGTGGTCTCCATTTCTGTCCTGATAAAGCCACCAGGCCTCCGGTCATGGGGCTCCATCCTAATGACCTGTCCCATCTAGTCACTTCCCAGAGGCCCCACCTCTGTGCCTTGTGGGATCAGCCTTCCACCTCCTCAATACCATCGGCATTGAGCTCTGCCTGATTTCCGGGAGACAAATCATATTTGGATCATAGCAGACAGAGACCTCAAAGAGATGACCATGTCCAGTAGAGCCAGGAGGCGCAGGATCGCACATCTAGGCAGTGGCGCGCTCGAGATGCACAGGAAGCACTGCTGGGGGGCGGGGAGGGTTCCCGGGGCTGGCAGGGAGGACAGCGGCACAAGTGGAAGTCCAGGTGACCCGCCCAGCCAGACCTGGGCTCCATCCCCAGGGCCCCTGCGTCAATTACCACTCACTGCCCCTGCTTTTTGGAAGTAGAGGCTTGACCCTTTCATCCTGTCTTCCTGACCAGATAGAACTTCTGGAAAGCACATTAGAATCTGAGATGTACACCATTGACATGAACAGCAAACTGAATTTGTCCTTCACATTGATACCCCGGCTGGGCATGTCCCCCATTCCACTGGTGAGTGAGTCTCTGGTGCCCCTGACGGTCAGTGCTAGGCCACTGCCTTGGCAGCGCCCAGGCTGTGCCCAGACTCTGGACGGCCCTGGCGTCACCTGGGGAGAGAGGCCTCTTCAGGTGACTGTGAGACCCTCTGCAGGAGACTCCACAGCCAGCCCTCTGTGCTGAGTTTGTGGCTGACCAGGCCCTTCCCCACCCTTCACGGAGCAGCCCCAGGCGAGTCCCACCCAGGGGAGGTGCTGGGAAAGGCAGGAGGCCAGGCCCTGCACCTGGATGTGGATGCAGGAGATCAAGCTGAGGGTGGGGACCATGTGCCTGAGGTGGCGGGAAGGTAGTGGGCCGCCTGCAGGACCCCGCTAGCTCTGTGCGGGCTCTTGGGCTGGATGCAGGTGTCCAGCATCTGAGGGATGAATGGAGCACGAGCTGGGAGTTTTCCCTGTGGTTGGGGATCCTCAGAAGTCAGCCAGGTCTGAGCAGTGAGGCAAGTGCCACGCTTTGCCTTCAGGTGTCCTCTGTGACCTAGGGAGGACCAGCCGGGGATGGACCTCTGCCTCAGGGAGTGAAATCGGGGTGTTAGGACATGGGGGAGGGGCTGTGGAAGCTTGTGGAAGTCAAGGTTACTCCAAAGAGTTTGTTCAGCTTCGCTGCAACCCGGCCACCAGTCCAGTGGTCAAGGTGGTCTCCTGGCCTTAGTCTGTGACGCCCCTCCCCAGAGTTTTTCTTTTTTTCTTTTGGAGACAAGGTCTCACTAAGTCGAGCAGGCTGGCCTCAAGCTTGTGATCCTCCTGCCTCAGCCTCCCGAGTAAGCTGGGAGGACAGAGGTGGCCCCTAAGCTAGGCGAGGCTGCCTCTTTGAGATGGCATGCGCATGACCCCTGCAAACCCAGGCCTGGGACCAGGGCTGCTTCTGCTCTCCCCAGGGGTCCCTCCCCCACCTCCTCTACGGGAAAGGCCTGGGTCGCCCAGCTGCTGCCACCTGCAGAGTGGCACTGAGGTCCAGAGAGGGTGGGTGGACGAGGGCCCGCGGCGGGGCGTGGGACCAGCAGCCGCAGTTCAGGGCGAGGCTGGTCTTCTCCTGAGGAGGACGGGTCCCCTGCGCTTGCCCTGCTTGGGCTGCTGGCTCCAACAGCCGCCCCCCACCATCTCGCTCCCCAGGTGATGGTGAGCAACCCCTACTCCCTGGGGCTGCAGGCCTCCATCTACGAGGAGGCTGACAACACCTTCGAGGGCAACATCGTGTACAAACTGGTAAGTCCGTCAGGCTGGGGACCTCAGGCCTTCATGGAGGGGACCCGCCCTCCTGCTGCCCTTGCTTGCACATATAGAGGGTGAAGCATCAGGGAATTGGGGGGATGCACCCCTGCCCCTTGTTGGCAGGGGACAGGCAGCGGTCACCCACACTTGACCTCATCCCTCACATGGGAGCCTGGCAGGGAGCCTGGCAGCCAGGCAGGGCGCGAGCCCTGGGCAAGGTGAGTCAACTGAGGTATCAGGATTGGGCCACACAAGGGAGGGACTCAGCCCAGCAGTCTGGGACCCGTTGTGCGTGTGCACCCATCAGGCCTCGAGGTCACCCCTGCAGTGTGCACTGGACCCAGCACCAGGGAAGCACAGGGCAGTTTGCACGGGGCCTGCCGGTGTGACTGGCTGCCGGGAAATCCGGTCCAGCCTGCCCCAACACACCTAGGTGACTGGGATGTGGCTGCTCCAGGGACAGACACCGCCAGGGAGTGGGTGCCCTCAGCTGGGGCAGCACCCTGGAGCTTCCAGGAGCCGGGCCCCTAAAGGCAGCCTGGCCAGGGGGCTGCGGGGCTCTGGGAGGAGCCCAGAGCCCCCTCCTCAGCTCTCCTCGTCCTGATGGGGGACATCCGGGAGCCCTGCTCCAGGTGGGGCCTTTTCCTTGGTTCCTAGGACATTGACCTCAAGCAGCAGCACCACTCGGGCAGGGCCTCCCCCAACTTCACCTCCAGGTATGTGGCCTTCTGGACAGAGGAGGGGCTCCTGCTGGCTGCAGGGTTCCCTGGGAGAGAGACTAGGCTGAGCTGGACCCCAGCTCAGGACTCTGGGTTGAGAACAATTGAAAACACTTTGCAAAGTAAACAGAATTGGCACACGCGGGGGCCGCCGTCCCGCTGAGGGTTCTCCCCAAAGAACGGAAAGCAGCGTCTCAAAGGGACGCGTGTGGCCAGCGTGGGCAGCGGTAGCTCCCCGAGCCCCGGTCCTCGCTCAGAAAGAGGGAAACCCAGAGCGCAGCAGTGGTGCTTGGTGACCTGAGCCTGGCATAGAGGGCATGCAGCGGGGTCCACTCCCGGGTCCCACCACGGGCAGGCAGCGTGGGGAGCAGGCCGGGGGGCGGGGCTGCGGCCCAGGCACTGAGTGGGGCGAGGGTGGGGACGGGGTGGCTGCG